TCAAATCAACATTTAACTGTGAATGTCTGATATTAAATGCCTAAGCAGAAACCGTATATCTAATATTAGATGGTATTTCATTAAATGCTATTTGAGAAGAGTTAACTATGAAACAAAAATAAAAAGAATAATCTTGAAAGAGAAGACCTGTATTTCTTTCACATCATTTCATGAAACTGTAGGAATGACTGGCTCCTTGAATTTGTATGGGAATCACAAGCTAAGCTTCCATAGTAACTTATAACCAAAAAAAAGTATCAATTCCCATATCCACAATTTTGGATACCCTGGAATTTTTAGATATAAATATGTGAGATAATTTTGGCACCAACAAAACCTGGGATAAAACTGAAATTATAACCCTACCTATCAGAAAACACTCCATTAACATACGTAATGCTCTTACAGTATTCCTTCTCTATATCACAGTATTTGCTGTTCATAACAAGATGTCAAAGCTGTCAAGATGCCATTATGTTTTTTAATTTACATTTTGCTAGTACATCTGCCTGCAGTATGGTGCAAACAAAACCACTGTGTCATATCTGAGCATCACATCAACTGCTTTACAAAACTTCATAATCACTCTTACAGACTCATTACAAGAGACTCTTAGGTGACATGCATCAGGCACTTTAATAGGAGAAATTCTTTGCACTGACTCTTCTCACACACCTTTACTCAGTTTCTATAGACTGCAGATTGGCCCTGTCATCTTTGCTGACCTGGACTAAAGCTTAGCTATAATCATGGTTGTAACACGACATAAATAGATCTAGGGGAAATTAAACAACTGAAGGCCAGGTCTCCGGGGGAATGCTAAGTGTAATAGGTAGTTGGCTAATTCTTCAGCACAAGCGCCCTTTTCAGAGGAGAGTGCCATGCAGGGTCAACAAAATGTGTCTTTGTGTCATTTACACTTTGCCAAATTCTTGACTTGGAAATTCTGCCCAAGTCAAGGAGGGCGGGCAAATGCACCTTCCCTTATTTCCCCTCTGTAAAGAGAGTAACTGGAAAGAGATAAGACGTTAAAGAGCTTTCAGGCAGGGAAGTTTTTCTGATTAACAGCAAATTTTTGGAGTAAATCCCACAAATGTATCTGGCAATCCAATTATTTTTCCAAAAGAAAAATAATTACTGAGGCAGGGGAAAATGCTACCAGGTAATGTGAAACTGGAGTACCAAAAGCAGCAAGGGGTTGTGGTGCCCCTCATGTTACACAGCTCGGATGACACCAGTTAGCATAGAAGCAGCTATCCCAAAGCGCGAGCTGCAGTGTCGCCAAGCCTCAGGAATCACAAACTATCTTATGTATGTTTTTAAAGCAGATATACTCCATTTCATGGCCATCAAATCACTTGGCAGCTTCTGACCAGTGCCTTGCAGCCTGCAAGTGCCCCAGGCTCTGGGGAGCCAGCAGTTCTCCCGCAGCTCCCAGTGCAGGCCACTCCTCTCTGCAGGCTGTCCTGGGAAGGGCCTTCACCCGGGAAAGGCTAAGCTGTGTGGGCTCCCATGCTCAAGGCATTTTCACCAAAGCTAACAGACCAGTTTATCCATGCCCTAAGGTGTCTGCTGAAAACGGTTATTTACTGTGACATCATCTTATATGCAACAGAAACAAAAGAGCACCTAAGGTGCTCTCTGACACAATCTGCTTGCCTCGGGTTCGTGTGAGTCTCTTAAATTAGTCTTGTCACCGAAGTGCAACTCTCTGAAACCTTCACTGTAAGCTACCACCACTCGTGGTGGGACAGGTCTCAGACAGCAACTATGGAAGAATGAATTAGCAGAGTGAATTCTTGCTTTCCTTCCTCCCTCTAAGTGTAGAAGGCATTAATGGCACAAGAACATGTTGCACTCCCCCATCACCAGTGGCACTCTAATTCATTTCTAGCATGGTAAGAACTGAAAAATAAGAAAAAGCTCAGAGAGGGAGAATTCCAGGAAGCCTTGAAGAACAGCACTCTTGCATTACAGCATAATAACTGACCATGCTTTCTTCAGTTTGCTAACCAGAGGTAGGTTCCAGGATAAGATGCCTATCAGCATTCAACCTAGTTATAAAGAGTTCCTAACTCCAATAAACCAGATAAGGTTAAAACTGGTTGCCCTGAGTGACTGCCCTTCTTGTACAGGCTCTACCTTTCTACCAGTCATATAGCTGCGATCACAGTGAGCTGTGACAGGCCAGCAGTCCACCTAGCACAATAGTGGGTACCAACAGTGTTGAGGTGAAGATGCAAAAGCACATGCTTAAAACAGTCTTTAAAAAAAATAATTTGAAGACATTTAAATGGGAGCTGAGCTGCTCTGGACACCTATTTTGTTTTAGCTTGCAAACTTTGCCAATCCCTCTCCTGCTACACAGCAAGAAGGCTTCCAAACAAACTCTTACCAACAGAACTCACTTCAACTTCTAAACACATGTATTTTGAACCATTACAGAAACAGAACCTGTACCAGCAGACTCATCAAGTGCCACAATGAAAGACTTTCTGTCAGGGAAAATTTTCTAAAGCAGGAGGAAGCAAAGAAGGAATTAAAAATAGAGGCAAAAATGCATGGTATGCACCCAGGGGTCTGCTCCGGTGGCAAATTCAAGTAATAGTGGAATTTTACACTGGACTAGGAAATGGACGGCTTTTGAAAAATAAATGCCAAGACCTTTAACACAAACAAATGTCTATGTGAAACTGTGGATATTTATTTTGAAAATGGTAGCCCTGACTGATCAGATCATTTAATTCTATTTATATGGTGACTATCACGCTAAAGATCCGGTTTAAAAATACACAGAAGTAACTGGGTAGACTTACACTGGAGTAAGAGAGGTCAGTTTTCAAAAAGCAACACAGGAACCAACAAGATATCAAAACATCCAATATAATAGTCACTGTAACCTATTTTACACTAGCATTGCTGATTCTGCTTTACTTCTCACACCTGTGCCTCCATCAAGAGCCCTGTAGACATCTCAAATCTTTTACAGTAGTTATATCAATGCTATTAACAATCAATGCAATCAACAGTGCTTATATCATCAGTGCTAATGTTCTGTTTGATTAGAGAATATTATAAATTCTGATTTTGTGATGCACTTCAATTGCCACAGAGTAAGTGAAGCGTCTTTAAGTGCACAGATTTTGGACAACTGGCAGTTGTACCAACATCTACAGAAAGTTCCATGGGGAGACGTATTGACATGCTCCAATGTCGCTACAACTCTATCTGCAGTTTATTAACCATGCAAGAGAACAGCCTTAGGTCATGACAAACTAAGACATGAAGAGGGACTGTTTGGAAACTACTCCATCTTTACCACTGGGAAGCACCTAGTACTATTAGCATATTCTTCCAAATTAGGAAACTTTTGTTTGACCATGTTATACAACACACATGAAACCAAAAATCTTAAAGCATCCCTTTCTCCTTCGTGTGTCACACTTGCAGTATTTTACTAATTCCTGTGGCTCATAAGGAAGACATTTATTTTAAAGAGGCTGCCAATAAATCAGTAGTTTAGTGTCCTCAGGAGAGGCAAATGGATGACAGAACATTAGTCCTCAAAGCCTCCATCCACCTCATGAAGATTCAGTTTACCACAGTCACAAAACCTAGAGCTGTGACTTGCCTTGGTTTGTGTCAAATTCTACCACGTAGGATCACTTCCTAATAGGTAATATTTTAAATGTGAAATGCATAAATAAAATAACCTGGTCGAGATTACTTAGATTAACATCATTCTGTAAAATAAGATTTTAATCTGAGGAGAGTTAGTGTCCTGAGAAAATCCGTATTATGCAGATCACACAGTTCATAAATTTGCATGTCTGAAATTACTGCTTTGTAACTGCATAAGAAGAAGCAAAAAAAAATTTATGTATGTTCCAGGACATTGAGACACCACATCCTTTCAACCCGCTGCTCTTTTGTCTCACAGCTCTGTTAAACAGTCAGCTGCTGGCAGATGCTCTGGCTAGAAATGGTCACAGATGGTCAGTTGCCCAGCTAACACACCAGATTGCTCTCCTCAAATCTCCTCTAAAACAGGATCTCAACCGTATGCAGCAGATGTAAATATCTAAGCATGGTCAAGAGGCCATGTAACCTAGGTAAGGCTGCAGGTCAATTCTGATAGTTTAGTCAAGATTAATTCTCCACACTGCCCCTAAGTAAACTATCTCAACACACTTCAAACACGAAGCATCGAGTCCTACATTACTTTTGCTAATTACATTATAGATGATATCTTTTTATGAAAGAAACTCTCAGTTACATGTGTTTACAGAAGCACCTGTTACCTAGGGATGATACCAATACATCTGTACTGTGTGTTGAGTATGTTTCCTCCCATAGGAAGAGCTATAGGAGGAAAGAGAGTCAGGTGATCAGCGGAAAGACTCTAATAGGACTAGGTAAGTTTTGTTCCCTAATCTTTGTGCTCAGTCCTACAAATATTTACCAGTACTCCTTAAAAGCATTAACAAGATAGTAACATGCACAAGGGTTATTTGCTACTATGATGAGCAAGCACTGCATGTTGTGTAGTACAGCTATGACAAAGGCTACAAATAACAGACAAATAGCCTAGCAATACCAGAGCAAAAAACTTTGGTAGTTGGCATTAATATTTCACTGTTACTAGATCAGGCATAAATACACAAAAGCTGAAAAAAATGCATATTAATCTGAAAAGTAAAAGATGTCATTTATTAGCAGCGGTTACTAACTGTAAGCTCTGTATCTTGTGATTAGTAATTGGGTGTCCTTCTTCCTACTTACACAAGGCTTACAAGATCTGGTTATCTAAGTGTTGTGTGACACATTTTGGGAGAAGATTATTCCTTCAGCTGTGTAAATCAAGGTTGCAGAGCTTATTGCTGGAAGAATAGATGGCCAAACCTAAAAGTTGTTGCCTCAGATTTAATGATTTAAGCTCTCAAAGATGTCTTTGACTTCACTGTCTTCCGGAATAGGTAAGAAATATTTTACATACTCACCTAAACCACTGACAGTATACTCAAGATCACTGGCATCCAACAGAATTGGTCCATTCTCCTGTTGGCCTTCTTCCTTGTAATACAGCTTGTACCCTTGAATAGCTGCAGTGTCCTCAGAGTCCTGCTGCCACTGTACTGTAATAGTTGTACAGTTCATCGGCTCCAAACGCAACTCAGGAGACTTTGGTGCTGGTTTTAGAGAAATATATATAACATTCTTACATTCTAGAAACAACTAATTTTCACATTAAAATCTGGGTGCCCGAAGTTCACTCTAGACTTTGATTCTAGCTCATCTGTGTACTCATAATTATTTCTTTATTATGTCTGACTCCCTATAAAGCTAATCTAACAAAGTAATTCAGGATAAATTAGAACTGAGATGTTTTAATGCAATAATAATTAAATAAATAAACTAAAAGGCAGTTATTTTCAAAGAAAAATGAAAACACACCAAAGATAGTCAGTACTCGCACTACCTGGTGAAAAAAAAATTGAAGCTGGTAACATTAAGAATTACCTTTCACACTTGTAGCTTTGGGAGTCCGGTGGGAAGTCCATAAAGATGCCTCTCCCCAGCCAATCCTTGTTGCAGCAGTGATACGAACCAAGTACACACTGTCAGGCCTCAAGCCTTCAAGGAGATACTCATCTGAAGTCCCTGGAAGCTCCAAGACTTGAACTTTGGTCTCTGTGCTGAGACGGAAAGACAGACGGTACAGGACCACCTGACCTCTCCTATATTTTGCAGGAATTGGCAGCCAGGAGATGAGAATATCTGTAGGACTCCTGCTTGTCAAACTTATTTCAGGAGCTCTCAAGGGAACTAAAAAGGAAAAGACAAAGTATTTGAGCTCAGGGAAAAGAGAGATGGAAAACTCTTGTCTGAAAGATTAGTCTATGATGAGATACCAATAATATAAGAGTAAATAATCCAAGAAGTTTTGTAGATTCTTGTTTATTTTAAGAACAACTTGACACTGCTCATACTTCTCACCTTCTGTATGCAATATAGCCTTAACAAGCTCCTTTCCATAAGGCCTTTGATGTTTTCTTCTCTTATTACTGCCAGCAGCAATCAAAGGTAATCAGGACCTTACTGTTCTGACAACCTGACTGTCAAGGTTAGATGCAGCAGCTTAAACTGAAAATCTAGACAGCAACCTGTACCTTTGAATACTCAGTGTGTGTTTTCTTCTACCATACTGTGTAATCAGGGTAGTAACTCCTAGACATGAGACAGGCAGACAAATGGAACTGGCAATGTTCCACCCTGCCAAAGCTCAACCCTGTCAGAATTTATTTATCAGTTCTAATGAACTATACTAAACAGTTTGTTGTCATCACGATGTTCAGATTTGTTAAATCACTGCACAAAAGTAGGGTCTTTTCTGAAACTGCGATGCTGCTAACATGCAGGTAGACAAAAAAACTTTTTTTGGTATAGCAAATTTTCATTTCAAATTTTCCTCTAAAATTTACAAAAGATGCAGTGGATGTGCAGTTTGATTCATATTTCAGATTCCCAATACAGTGTCATAGAGACTAAATCTCAGGGTATCATCAAATTCTCAACTCTGAGGGAGATCTTAAAAAAATCTAGAAGTTATCTACATAATTTAATGAAATGTCTTTCAAAGCAGGTAAAGACACTGTAATAATACAATGTTGCCTGTTGGAATGTTACTTTACTTTTCTTTACTCTCATTCCTTTCATCAGCTGGCTCAGTCTTACATTGTGCATATCCTGAAGTTTCACTGACATCAATGGAAATCTGGGATCCTCAAGAGCTGCTAGCACTGGATTGCACATTTCTACACAGTGCAAATAATAAAATGTTCAGCTAAATCAGTGGTATTTGTCTTACCATCTTCAAGGGTGTGCTGAGTCACATGATCTGACATCTGACTGGCTCCCAGAGGCATATAAGCTACAATATAGAAGGTGTAATTGCTGGCTGGTTCCAAGTCATCAATAATGTAATGGGTTGTATCATTTCCAATGACCACTTGGTACTCTTCATTATTTAAACCTGACATAAAGAAACCAAGAGTTAGGCAAACAAAAATTCCTGTCAATCCCTAAATATCACAGTATCTTAACTTTTAGATCCTACAATGTTATTTCATGTTCTTCTCCAGCCTACCTCTGTATTTTCAACCCTACTAAGTAAAAGCTCTTTTATGCACAAAAGTAACTGTGTCTTGCTGCGGCGTAGGTTATGGTGTTTCAGCATTTTCCTGAATAAGGGATGATGAATGCAATTCTAAACCCTATTTAGAATTAGTCACAACAAACTCTGCCCAACGTACAGTAACACAACAGACAAGCCCCAATAGCCTTATCATTCATACCAAGCTTCTAAATCTATTTGTTTAGAGTCAGGGAGGTTTTATCCAAAACCTATTTACAGAGCCTTTCTATAGCAGACTGTGAGGAATGTGAGGGCTCTAACTCCATCAAAAACAAAACAAACACCACCCCCCCCAAAAAAAAAGAAACAAACAGAAAGAATTTATTCAGCAAAAGGACCTCATTTTAGCCCTGTGAATTCTATTACATTTGATTGATGCCTTTTTTTTCTTTAATTTGGAGAAAGGCTGATAAGAACAGACCAGAATGAGCTTCACAAATGTTTGGCTCATAGTGAACTGTTAAAAATTAAAAAAAAAAAAAAAAAAAGAAAAAAAATGTCAGCAATTCACACTAAAATATGCATAGCAATGCATGCAGCAGTCCTTGTCTTTGTTGGGCTTTTTTCCTATAGCGGAAGGCTATAAAGCAGGGTAAGTGTGGTGAAAGCTGCTGTGTTAACGAACAATTCACACCAAGTGCATGTCAACTTAATCAAACCTCTGTAAGAGCCAGCTCCTCCTCTTCACAACTGAATTTATAAACAAAACGAAAGGCAAATTCCACCATTAAGTTTTCCCACATCTATGAATTAACTTGATAGCATTTTAATTAGACAAGATTATGAGCATCTCACAACAGACTAGTTAATGGCTTGTTAATTAGGAATTGCAAGGCACGATTTCTGACCTGCTAAACAAGATCCTTGAGCTCAAATTAAAAGGACTTGTTCTCTCATTGAATGGATTGCTAGGCCTCATGCAGAGGCCCTAATGAAACAGCCATAATAGAGAACAAGGCCTGCCTTCCACCACAATCAGCATTCCCTTTGTGCCTTTTCTAAATCACTAACAAGGAATTAACACACTCCAACATGCACGCTCATCAGACCCTTTTTCTTCTTGCTACTCTGACCCCGATTTGAATGTAAAATATTCTGCTTAAAGAAACAAAAAACAAAACCACAAAACCCACACCTGTTGGTTCCTACAACTTGATTAGAACACTAACCTTTATTTTTATTAATAGGAAAGAGGACCTGAACCTGTTTTTACAGTGAAACATCAGAATACCCAAGTTGTGAAATTAAACTATTAAATGGTCTTTTGTATTTGAAGTACCTACCACATTGTGAAGTCTACAGGAAAAAAAAAACCCAAAACTATGAAACTGTATATAATCAGTGTATTATCCAGTTTTCCTTTCTGTTTAAAGCTTATGGAATCACAAACAGCAGTACTACTTATGTTTTTCTTTTGCAATTAAATGTTCTTTACTCACATTGACAAATGTGGTTCCTATTTGAAGAGAGCAACATATGAACATCAATGTATAAAGAAAAAAGTTACACATGAAAAGCTTTAAGTAAGTAAGATGCACACCAGTTAAATCAGATACATTCAAGAATTTTTAATTTTCATTAGGGTCTGAAAAAGAGCGTGTGGGCAGAGTGGGCAAAAACATGCTGAAAGGAATAACAAAATCAATTCCTTCATTCATACAAACTATTTACACTAGTACATAGTTATACAGAATCCATACAGAGTAAATAAGGTGTTGACAGTGTCAACAGCGAATGTTAGCACCTCTATGGCCTGGGGAATGTCATCCAAAGATTTTCCTTTATATTTAATCTGCATTTCTTTAAATTAGAGTTGCTTCTAAATTTACATTAAAGAAATGGCTGATGTGATACCTTCTCACAGAGGCATCTTCTAGGGTGTTAATAATGCCTCTGATATATAGGCAATATCCTCAGAAGGGTTTACAGACTATCACTTAGGAAGCAATTCTTTTTACAGAAGTGCAGGCCATTAGCCTTTGAAACTCAACGTTTTGTCTACTAAATGAGACAAACCTGTTTTTATGTCCTGATGTGGATCTTCTGCAACTACCAAATCATGTTACCAAAGCAAAAATGCATGCAGATCACCTACATTTTGATTCTCACCACTGTAATTACTCCTCTTACCACAGTTCTCCCCACTCTCCCTGTGTGGATTTCTTTCTAATTCAAAAGGATGCACAACAATTATCAAGAGACAATGGGGAAAGATGAAAAGAACGGGTATTGGAGAAAGCAAGTTCTAGTAAACCAGTGGGTTTTGTTTGGTTGGCTGCTTTTGTTTGGAGTTTGTTTTGGTTTCAAAACCAGGACAAGCTACAGTCTCATTTCACAAGATATAACCTTTGGATAAGCAAGCAAATAGCGGGGATTACAAAATGTTTTTGCAGAAAACACACTGCAGAAGATACCTCCTTTCACTACTGTGCAAAAGTATTTCCTGCACAGATACACACTTCCCTAAGGACAGTTTCCCAGTTTTCTTTCAAGTTACCAGCTCTCTGCTCTCTGTGTAGGCACCAGACATACGATTAACCAGATAACTTATCTAGTGTGACTTTACTCATATTAGCTTTAAGACGGGGTTGTGAGCAAAGTACCTAAGTGCCTGAAAGCATGGGGGGGGGGGGGCGGGGTAATTTCCCACACCTCTTGTCCTCATTATCTTTTAAAACTCTTTCCTTCCTTTCCTTCAGACAAAATTCTCTTGTGTTCTGAAATATCCCACTTGCCAAAGCAAAGGCAGCTATTCCTGCAACAGTATTAGAGTAATTAAGCTGTCCTTCCTGTCCTCTGCTTAGCAGATGCCAGACTGGTATTCTACACAGAACTGAGCATCTGCAGTCCTGTTCTTGAGTAAACCACTTACTGAATAGAAGTGAAAAAGAAATCACTCCTAGAAAACAGAGCAGCATCACAGCTCAGTTTAACCCATGCACCTAAAAAAATTGAGTCATTTGGCAATCACTTCTGCTTATGAAAAATGTCTGTATTCTACCACCTTAACGATTACCTTACCTTAAAGCAATTAAATAATACTAATGGATTTTAAAATGTCAAGTTACTCATTTTTATTCCAACTATCCATTCCCTTTTATATAGAAATTCATGTATTATTTCAGAGACAAGGATAAACCTTTCCTGGCTATTTCAGTGTATTTTAAAGTTTAAGTATACATTTTTCATTATAGGATACCACAGGGTGAAAGGAGAGCAGATTTTACCTTCAGCCAATATACGTTTTAAGAAAAGATAGTTAAGTCAATAAAGTATCAATTATTCTACTCCAAAATAGACAAAAGACAGTGAAGTCAGAAGAAATCAGGAATCTAGACAAAAGAGCTGTGGCTGGTGAGCAGTCCACTCTGTAAACCTCTAGGATTCTGATGTATGCTCTCTTTCTCTGCCAAGCATACACAGAGGAGAGAGTAGGCAGAAGCTCCTGCTGAGGACTGAGTGAAACAGAGGTAGCAGTACAGAGGCCCCAGTTTTGAAATCCCTCCCTAACTTCAAAATCTGCTCACCTGAGCAATCAGACAAGGGTGAGTGGAAAGAACAGTCAGTCCCACAAATGAGATGATGTGGCAAAAGTTTTTTTTCCCAAACATGTCTGTTGATTACAATAGGCATTTATATGCTGGCATGCTCTGGTGCAGCCCTTGTTATGAACCATTCAAACTGGAGTCTCTGCAAGACACTCACAGTTGTACTACACATGTAGTGAAACAGCATTTAAATCAAACTGCTTACCTTCTGCTTTCATGTAATGCACCGAATATGCAATCACTTTGTCGGAATTGTACAGTGGCCTCTCCCATGCTAGCAGGATTGCTGAGCTTGACATTGTTTCAGCATGGACATTGTAAGGTGCACTGGGTCTGTCTTCTGACATAACTACAGTAAGCCTGGCCCTGGAGAGAACAGATCCCTGGCTGTTCTCAGCCATGCACTGATAAATGGCATCATCTTCGGGAATGATCTGGTTTATCACCAATTTACTGAATCCAAAAAGAAGAAAAAGGGAAAAAAATCTCACATCTTGGATAAACTTAGCTCTACATAATGCAACAACAGTTATGTTTGCCTCTGCTTCATGAGTTTAGTATCATTGTCCTACATGCCACAAACTTTTCTATTAGAAATGTATGTGCAGCTATAAAATTTAGCAACTTGAAGTGTTCCTCAAAACCTGACATGCTTATGCAAACCCAGGCACAGTGAAAACAAACCCATAAATCTATTCCCCACCTGCAAAATGCTGTCATTTTTTAATCAACTCCTTAATATGAGCTGCTCATTTTACAGAAGTAGTAAAATGGAGCTTCAAACAACTAGCAAGATTCTTGTCTCTGCTATACTACTGTAAATCCAGAACAACTCTGTGGTGAAACTCTTCAGGTCCACCCGTTCTCCCTTCCTGTCATTTAAGGCAGTGATCACAAAAGCTTTGCAGAGGATTTTAGGTATTTACTAATCTGCACTCCTTCTGCCAAGGAAATGCCCAGAACTACACCATAACTACATTTAATGTCCAATTCCATATTTACCTGAGTCTTGCTTGGCTACATTTAGTTACTGGAATTTCATCATTTGGTAGCACATCATTCGTACAGTTCTCATACAGCAATTGTAATCTTACCTGTTGTACATTTTTATTCTACCATTGGAGTGTATTCTCCTTCCATTTTTTAACCATGAAATTTTGGGGGCAGGATTTCCTTCTGCCTGACAAGCGAAACGAGCAGTACCAGCTCTAGGCCTTGTTAAACTTTCTGGCCATTCCACAAATGAAGGTGGAGCTACAGACAAGTAACAAGGGAACAAAGAACATAAAGATCAAGCCCTGCAAACGCAAGGACAGTCAGAATAATAATGAATTTTCCACACACAAACCCCTCTCCTCGGACCACCCAGATACACACATACCCATGTGGAAAGCAAAGCACATTTGTTTAAAGATCCGCTCTATCTGCACAGATAGCAACATTTCCACACATTTTTGTTCATGCATTTATGAATAAAAGCAAATCAAACTCCAGCCTACAACATACTGCTCATAAAGCATACATATATTACATATTTCTACTTTGTTACAGGATTCATTTCTCTCTTCCCAGAGCCAACACTGCACCTGGGTATTTCCCAGTGCAACTGAACTGCTAGTTTATGAGTATCTGACACTTCTCATCTAAGTCAACAGACAGAAGAAGGCAGCCAGAGTTCGGTGATCTGTTTCATCTCTGCAGTCTCCCTACACCCCTTGATTTTTGAGATAAGAATTCAACCCAGGACATAGCACAGCTCAAGACACACACAAGATGTTAATACACACTGTAGAAGTCAAAGCAGGCTCACCCAGCACAGTGAGAGTTGCCATTGCTACCGTGAAGTTCCGTGTGCCTGGAATAGTGGCTCGACAAACATAGACACCTGCATGCTGCACCTTGACATCAGAAATCATGAGGTTCCCATTTCCAAGGACACGGGTATTGAAGACGTCAATGGACTTATGGTCTGTTTGAGAGAGTGGGAAAAGTGTGAGTACAAGGCTGTTCAATGTATCTAAATAACTTATCTAAATAGGCTTGCCTGGGGAGTAATGGCATAGATCTGAGTTTCAAAGTCAAAAGAGAAAGGGAAATCACAGATGAGCCTTCAGAGGTTTCCATTTCGCATCTGCTTTGCTGTTCAGTTATCTGAATATTCAGATGCTTGGTTCTCACCACTTGATAAATGGTTTATATCTGAAATTCATCATCACAGCTAAAAAATAATATCATTTTCCCAGTTACCCTCCCCAGTTGCCTTACATTATGATTCAGATTGTCACAACCAACATCCTCATCGTCCCTACAAACAGGGATCATCTATCTCCTTCTACTATGCTGGGGATAAAATTAGTATATATGCTTACCATATATTTTCTTCTATTTTCACAGTAATTGCTCTATGACTGTTACATAACTTTTTTCCTGCTTTTTTTTCTGTAAGAGTAACTGAATCAACCACAAAAGATATCTTTATTTCTCCCACTTTCAGAAATAAAAATGCAGGAAAACTTTCATTATTTGCTTCTACAGGTCCAGTCCTGACTTTCACATATAGGTACATCTCAGAATAAAAACAGAGGTAGTTTTCATGGAAAAATGTGATGCACTAATGAATGTTATTATTCTTACTGCATTCCCTCTCATCTCCCCTTCCAGGTAGACTACTCAGGGTTTGACAATACCTATTCATAGTCCAAACTGCCCATTAACACAAGGTCCAAATCACACTCACACAGTGCTATGAAGAAGAGGAAAGACATTTACAGGATTGCTTCATAGCATGCAATCGCTCCAGCCTGCCCTAACCCACCACTGATTCTACTCCAAGTCACAGATCCCTCGTGGTCACCACCCTACCCAGTATTATCCACACACTGTGCTGGGGGCAGTGCCAGATTGACAGCAGAAGCGCAGAGTCCAACGCCTCAGAAAACCTCAGGGCTTCTTAACAGCAGTATGAAGTATACACCTGAGAGTGTTTCACTTATCCTACCCTAACCTGCTAATCGTTACCTACTACATGAAGCCTCAGAAGCGTCACCTAATTGCTGAAATCCTTTCTTTCCAGTTTTACTTCCGCTTCACAGGCTGAAGGTCATATGCTGTAATTTTAAGACTTACCTAACCGGCTCCATGAGATGATTGGCTTTGGATTCCCTGTGGCTACACACTCCAGTATGACAGTTTGATGAAGAGATGCTGTAATGTTTTGAGGACCAGCTATTATAGATGGCTTGTGAAAAGGCTTCAAGTCTGAGGCTTCGGAGGGGGGAAAAAATAATTAAAAATAAAATCAAAGAAAGTGAGAACAATAAACAAAAACTCAATTAAACATGAAATAAAACATGACTTTTTTTAAAGGATGCTTAAAATTAAATTCACACTAAAGTCTAATTTCAGTAACTGTGGAAACTTACACTGAACAATATTTTAGCCAGAAGACACACACAAGCAAAATTATTATTTGGGCAAGTGGTTCGGACGTCAGTAACAGCTCTTTAATGCATGTAAGTGTTTTTGCTATAATGTAAAAAAGAATCTACTGCCACTGAAAAAAATCTCCCATGGTGAGTACCTGGAATGACACTCAGCACTGCCTCAATGCTTTTCCGTCTATTGGCTATTGTTGTGGCAACACATCGGTAATTCCCAGCATCCTTCTGTTCAACACCATAGATCTGAAGAACTCCTGTAGGTAAAGCGGTTATCCTGTCACAGAAACCAAAAAAAGATGTAAATGAACATTCAGCCAGCAATTACCATCGTGGAATTAACTACTTGATTTACAAACAGCCATTGCTACACTGATGTGGAACAGCAGGCTGGAGGCTCAAAAACATTCTCTATGTATGACTCATCTCCCCACATATCTGAAGTACAGGCAGCATTCCCCCCCAGCACCACTACAAGAGCAGAGGAATTTACTTTCAACAAGTACATCTTTCTCACCCTCAGAAGCAACTTCCTTAGCCAGCTACTACATGTATACTATTCAGGTTGGCTGTTTTTTGGCAGCAATTTCTGATACACTAGCACAACTGGTATACGATTCCCAAAAACCCACCTATGCTTTCAATTTCTATGTTTCTTTTTTCACCTTTCTTTGCATGCTAGGTACCTTAGACATGTTCATCGAAAGTTACATGTCAAGAAGGATGGGAGTACGTTCAGTTAATACAATCTGGACAGGAAAAGATTCTAGCAAGGAGCAGGCTGTATGCTTCAAGTTAATCAATTCAAGAGAAGTCTCCCTGTGCAGAATTTCCCTAGCATGAAGTGTTTTAACTCAATTGGCTGTGCATATAACTCTTTATTGGCTCTCTAAAGAAAAACAGGTTCAGCATAATTTCTTTTGCGAAAGCAATCTCGCTAGTTCAAATCACCCCCACAGCCAAAGTCCACACATATTCTGTATCCCACAGTCCTGAGGATGACTTGCATACAAAATTCACCAGTAATAATTCATAGGTCAGTGGATATTGTGTAGACAGTAGCAGGTGATTCTGGTCTGCACTCCTAACACCTCTTTAAAAATTCATTAACTACTATTACTAGCTATTTTAATAGTTGACATACTACATACATGGAAAATAGAACTGCAAGGAGTCAGATTTTCTTCTTGTAGCAGGCTCAAAATTATCACAGAAAATAAATGACATTCTAAAATGTGTAACTCTCCATACCTGTCCACGACTAAAGGTAAAGTGGTTCGATTCACTTCCCATGTCACAGTGGCAGGAGGGTTTGCTGTTATTTTACAGGCAAACCGAGCTACTCCACCTTCTTGGACCTCAGTTGAAAGTGGCTGGACCTCAAATGCAGAAATGGCTAAAAATAAGAGAACATGGAATTTAAAAGACTGAAGTGAGGAAAAACTTGCTGGCTAAACCAAACTCCAGCTCACTGATCAACTTGCAAAAATACCCAGAAATACTTCAAATAGTCCTCTTTTCTACATGCAAAGAAAAACAGCTCTAATTACTCTGTCAGCTTTGCTCGGTAGCATGGTTTCACTGGCTGAAGGTTTACTTAAAGTAACTTTGCTTTAACCTAATTCAGTAAAAAAAGTTTGAATGAAAATCAATGACTCTCTCAAAAGGAATTAAGCACACAAAACGACTGACATGCGGATGGAAATCGTATCAATTACTAAACTAATGAAGTTTGTGTCAAATAGTTTGGGACTGGCCCCACTACACTTAAAAGAAAAATTAATTGCAATAGAAAATTTTCAAGACACCATTTGGGTCCTGACAGTCATATTTTAGTCCTTTAATTATACTCACTTTAGTAAAAGCATCTGCAGAGCTAAACAAGTTCAAGTGTTAGATAAGAAAAATACATCAAAACCAAAAACTATCTCAGAATAAGTTTAAACATGTAAGAACACTTTCATCCCAATACTCCAAGTGGTCACCAAGCAGATGTCTGATGCACAGAGCATCAATACAATTTTGAGCATTTACAAGTTAAGCAGTTCACAAAACTGAGTCAAATGAAGTGGCAGATCAATAAATACCTTACAGCTAACAGCCACCTAAGAAATTGATCAGTAGTTGGATTTCTTTGCCCACAAAATAAAAGCCAAAGGGAAAGGAATACAAAAACCTCAAATTAATTTGCTTATTTACTGCTACTTATAACACAGCAGAAAGACACAACTCTTCAGAGGCAACTCTTCTTGGATAACTCACAACACAAAGAATTCAACACTTATTTCTACCCCCTGTAATTGCAAAGGGAACAATCTCTGCATAAGTGCAAAGGTACTGACTTGATTGTTTTTCTTTTTAAAAATAATCAGATTTCAAATAAACACCTACTCTTGTATAAATTATACAGAGTATTATATAAATTATACAGATAAACCAATATTAGTAAGTTAACCATCTCTTAACATTCAAGTTTCATGTTGAAACAATTCCTCTATTTACTTGTTTATTAATTGAAATAGCTTTTCATCCTATTTAATATGTTTTCAATAATGCTGTTATGCAGAGGACACATAGAATACTGATGCAGATCAAGCATATTAACTAATGCTGCTCCCCTCTGTCATTTTACTACTACTGCGTACCATCAACAGATTAATATTGGAGTGCAAAGGTAACATGACATCACCTGACTGCTTTCCCCTCCATGCACAAATTAACTCCTAATCTTTCAAAGATTCCTATTATCTACTACACCTATTTTACTTCCCAGGTCAGAATAAATCCTTTTTTTTTTTTTTAGCCCTGTATTGCTGTAGTTGCATCAGCACTGCAGAAGTGAGCACTCCGGATCATATCAGCAGAGTGAGTGCTGCAGCTCTGTGGACAGACCTCCCAAAGACTCTGAAAACCAAGACAACTAAACCGTCTCTCCTACAGCAAAATCACCTGAGAGCAGCAGCAGCTACATGATACAAACACCATGGCTGCTGAACACCTCAAATGTTGATTCAGACTCCCAGGATGCAAAGCAGAGATGGTCCTGGTATTCATTTTTATCACCAGTCCTGTGCTTTTGGCAGGAGGTTCCTTCAGTTCCAGCATGCTCTGCAGTCTGTTCCCTACCCATCTTCACTGTAGACAGAACTAGCCTCTCTCACTAGCAGAATTTAACCCACTTCCCTATGTTCCAACCTTTGTTCTTTCTTTCACTTATGAGTACTACCAGGTTCAAGAACAAAAAAAGACAAAACCAAAACAAAACCCAACTCACAACTCGCACAAAGATGCTACAAAAGAAGTCTTATGTTTAAAGCCTATTGGCGGGAGACATGGGAACAGTTCTCTCCTTAAACAGACTTTGATTGCTGAGACATCATCAGAAGAAAAAAAAAAGAGATTTAATAGTACTTTGCCTACTTACAGAAATTCCATTTCAGGGAACAGAAACACTCAGTACAAGTCAAATAACGTTCACATACACAAGGCTGTTCCCGTAACTTTAAACTTTCTGGGTTTGCTTTCTGCTGAATTTGATGCAGTCAGACTCTGCTCTGGTTTTCCACCACAGGGCCAGGGGGAAGCATCCAGGCTTTTCTTGCTTTCTCCCTTCCCTCCTCCTCTGTTCTAATCCCTTCCTACACAGACAATATGCGTTCACCTGAAATCAGAATAGTATTTCCTAGTGCTATTCTTAACAGATCTTCTAAAAATAAATAAAGAGTAAAGATAGAAGTGAGACTCCAAATTGCTACAAAAGAAACTGAAGAAAAATAGTATTTCACAGAACACAATGTCATCATGATAGCAAGGCAAGAACAGGTTCAACTTTACTATCTAGGAAATCCCATGCAAGTTGTTAACTGAAGCTGATATTTAAAGAACATTTATCCACCTGAGCAGGAACAATCTACTTTCTCAAAAAATTAATCTTTAAAGACAGCAAAAGTCAGAACTATGGAGAACTGCACAAAATCTTCAGGAAAACACATTAATGTCATTAAATGTGGTTTTAGAAACAAAAAATCCCCACTTACGTCTTGTCTAAATTTATACATTGTTTATCAGTTTACCTCAATACTTGCTCCTTCTGTATCTTGTTTCTTCACGCAAATCTCTGGTTTCTTCTTAATTCTGGCTTTATTTGTTCCAGTAAAATCTGTTTTTACAAGTCTATTGCTGTCTCATGAAATCTGACCTCTTTGTAACAGGCTTGTTTTCTTGGCAAGCGCTGATACCAACTCAGAACCCCAAGAACAAGTAATTAAATCAGTGCTCTTAAGAGGCCAGAGCTCTATAAAATGCATAAGAAACAAAGTCTCAAGAGACATACGTTGTTCCCAAAACCAACCCTGCAAAAAGCAATAAACGTAAGTGCCTTTTTATTTGAGTTTTCCCCCTCTTTTGCAGTCTAATAATTTTGTTCTCAGATTTATAGCCAAAAGAAAACAATTAACGTCACTCTGAGAAGCTGATGCTCCCATCCTTTTAACTTGCAAGAGACCAAACACTGCTTACAGAAGAAGAAAATAATAGCTAGGAACTTTATTTACTTTTATAAATTCCTGCAATTTATGCAATAGGAAGATGTGTTTATACAGGTACTTTTAAATATAAGTATGGCATAAAACACGTAGTTCTGTCCAGCAAAGTTATCTATGCAGAGAAATCGGAGTTCAGCACTGGTCTAAGTTCCTTCATTTACCATTGAGTCAAATACCCACAGGCTAAAACCCAAATGGTTACTTACTGTCACATGCTGACTAAGTATTAGAGAAACACTGCTGTGTCTCCTGCACCATGCATGGATTGAAAAGTATCCTGCATGCACGCAAAAAATCTTTTGTACCTAAACAGGTCTATATAGATTTAACTGTTAAGGTACAAAATAGTCAAACTTAAGAAGCTCATCCCTCACATCTCTTGTTTGCTTAAATACAGCAGCACTGCTTCACTCACTTTAATTAAAAACTAAATAAATAAAGAGAAACAAACAAAAATGAAACACAAAACACCCCCATTTCATTCACTCCTGAAATAAGTCCTGAAGCTTGTTCAAGCCACAAGTCCAGGTAGGTCACTTGTTCCCGCGCATGCTGCACTTTCTACTCATACACTTTGTGTCATTAAGTGATTTTCTGAATAAGCTTTCTTAAGAGGAAATTCCAATAACCTATGTATTTATTATTGTCAAAGTTTGCTGGTTTCATCACAGCTGACAGTAGTCTGAATCTGGACTGCAACTGTATAACAAACTGAAGATAAACCCCCTGAACTGAAATTACTCCCTGAACTGAAGCAGTAGCATAGAACTGGGTTTCGTCTAACCAGAATGTAACAGATACTGAGAAACTCTCCAGCACATGCTACCAACCACTTAAGTGTTTCTCAAGAGATAATGGCCACTCAGATAAATGAACTGCTCAGGTGGAAAGGACAAAAGTGCGTAATGCCATTTGTAGAACTTATGTGTTAATGCTATTGGGAATTACACAATAGCCCTAACCCTTCAAACAAAAGCAAGAATCTTTTCCTTTTATTTTTAATTCTCAGGTGAAGGGGCTTCACTTGAGAAAAATAAACTTGTATGTTAAAGAAAAGCTATGGCTTGTTCCAAAGAAATGGATTTCAGTTCAGCAAATGATAAATCCAATACTGAATTTTCTCTTCTTGATCCAGTTCTCATGATGCAGTCTCCCTGCCCCTCTCTCTGAAACACTGTTTAAAAAGGCAACAAATATACATGTGTATTAGAGTTTTGCACCCAAGCCAACTTGCACATATTTTTCTGGAGTTCAGCGCAATTTCACAGTCCTTGAAGGAGTGAGGCTTAAAACAGATTTTGAAGGGAGTTCTGCCATGCCATTTGACTATGTGCACACGTATTTCCAAATGGTTTACTACTCAAATGGCGCATTCTGGCGTGAATATGAATTGGGAATAATCTTTGGCTGAGTACTGACAGGCCCAGACACATGGCAAGACTAGAGACACAGCTATTATCCCCATTTCTGACGAAGCAGTTGGAGTACACAGAGCTGGAGTCGAGTGATCTAATGGGTGGATCTTTGCTGAGTTTCCCGGGAGATGCTAGTAAAAATTAAAGCATTTCAGAGCTCAAGTTGTGCAGAGTACATAAAGTTCAGAGGTGAATGTCACACAAATGGAGCAATATGGGTAAAGTTTTTCTTAAGTGTAAGTGAAAGGGATTACTGTGAAAGGGTGTTCTTTATGCACTACCAAAACCACTCACCCTTAAAATTTTAATCGAATGCTGTTTGACCTAGATTTATTATTTTTAAAATGTGAGGCATAAAAGTGAGAGATTTCAGGTGAAAACACAACCTGACCTCTAAGGAAAGATTCAAAGAGCTGGGACGTGATTAGCCCTGGGGA